CATTGGAGGGTCACCCTCCCCAGCCATAGAGCAGTCCTGGTGTCTCCTACCTCGCTCTACTCCCTACTACTTGTATAAGTGCTGTACTGGCAGCAAAGGGGGCATGCCCATGACTCTGTTATGCCTGTGACTCTGTTACGCCCATGTCTCTGTTATATCAGACTGATCCTTGACTGCCAGCAGACATTGTAATTTAGAGCAGACTTCTGGCTGCTCTATCATATGCATGGGGGTTGCCTGGCACACAGCATGCCTGTTTTCATGAGCAGTGCTGTGCACTCCACGGCCTCACATTTTCAAATAAATGAATGGCATTTAGCCACCCAACTCCTCATTAAAGTCAAACCTTATGTGTATATGAAAATGTAGATATACTGTAATAGTGAGATAACCCCACGTTTCTCCTTGCTCAGTGAAACTCAACAGTTTACATGAACAATGTAAACACATAAGTGGGCACACTACACTTCAGGGAACAGCAAATATTCTGAAACCGTTGAGGTGGTTTGCAAATAGCCATGCCCTTTTGTGCATTGATCCTATTATCATTGCCAAGCTATGTGGGGTAAGGCTGGGTCAGCACTTGGATGGGAGGCCTTCCAGGGATGCTTAGAAGGTGTAAGGCTGGTGATTCACTAGGTGGTACTTCCCTTAGAATCAGTCGTACCGCATGGGGCATTCAGGTGTTGTCTTTCAAATGAGAAGCAAATCAAAGCTTCTGACCACTTGTGGTGAGTTAAACATTTCATCGCACAGTTTACAGAGGTGGGGGTGTTAGTTAAGCCTGGAGTTCTTGTCAGTTTCCTGGCGGGGGGGGGGGGGCGGGGCGGGAATTATAGTCTGTCTACTGAAATTCCCTTGGTTGTTTTCAGGGGTGAAAATAACTTAAAGGATTTACTGGTACTCCGGAGTCCTGAGCAGGGGGCATGGCCTCGACCAGAAGAGGCGTGTCCTCAACCGGAAGAGGCGGGGCCTTTAAATACCTGGGGCCTTTAAATCACCCCCACAGCTACCAGCTGCACAGGCAGCTGGGAGCCTCGGGGTTCAGGGGCGATTTAAAGGGCCCCGGCTCTGGCCGCCCCACCGCAGCAGAGCTCTGGGCCCTTTAAATCACCGCCAGAGCTCTGCCGCCGCTACCCCGGGGCTCCGGCAGTGGGGATCGGGTGGTGCTTTAAAGGGCCCGGGGCTCCGGCCACTGCGTGGAGCCCGGGGCCCTTTAAAGCGCCAGCCTGGGGAAGCTGGTCCAGTCCGGCACGGCATACTGGCTCTTGCCGGTACACCGTACCAGACCATACAGGCTTACTTTCACTTCTGGTTGTTTTGCTCATTACTGTATGCCTCTGCGTAGCATTCATGTGTGTTGCTAAACAGTGGCTGCTTTTCAGTGATCCCTCTAAATGCTGTAGCATAAGAATGCACAGCATGTTGAGATGTTTGGAGATGAAAGGCGCTATATAAGTGTAAGAGATTCGTATTACAATATGAAACTAAACCAGGGAATGGAAGAAAAGAATGAAAGGAGGTAAAATGAAGAATAAGAATTAAGAGCAGCTTAGAAAATGTATGGATGATCGCTGAGAGGGAAACCATTGTCAGTTTCCTGAGATAAATCAGCTTTCATAAATACATGAAAGAGGTTCCTCGTAAAAATACACTCTCTTTTTAGCTCTCTTTAATATTGTTCAAGGTTTCTACGTATTTGGACAGCAGCCACTGAGCCCTCTCAATTCATCACACTGTTCAGTGAAGGGAGGAGCTTGGTACTGCATACGTCTGTTAAAAAGGAAATCAACATACTTTCCGTTAACAGTCCCCTTTAGCACAAGTTCCTCTTAGTTTCTTCTGAGTTTCCAAATGACTTTTAAATAGCTTTTCCACTGTTAATACCAATTTTACCCAGCATACCAGCGCCTTCACACCCACTCAGCTGGGGTTATCGCTCAGCAGGAAGTTGAAGCGGAGAGAGAACATAAATTAAGCTTATGTCAGTGTTCCGATTACAGAGAGAGACCTTGTTTTTCAAAAGCATTGGTGTTAACTTGTTAAGATAGGTATCTGTTAAAGAGTGAAAATTATATCCATTTCTTCAAAACTGGTGGAAGGGATTGATTTTTTAAAAAAAAATATTTTACAGTGTGTTACTGGTTGTTTGATTAATATAATTATTGGGTTTGTTTTTCAATAGTTTTTAGTTTACTTTAAAAATAAAAAGATGGGGGCAGACAAATGTTTTTAAAAAAAAAATTGCCATCTTAAGACTGTGGGGTTTCATTAGTTTGTTTGGGGATTTTGAGTGTGTATTTCAAAACCAGCACGAAAGAAAGAAATCTAGCAACCAGGGAGCAACTAACAGAATCTACTATTTTGTTAAAAGAATCATTAATGAAATGGCTAAGATGTTTAAAACTTGAAGTGGCTACTGGATAGTATGCACAGTAACTATTTTACATAAGGAATTTTATTATATGCACAGTAGAAACTTATATTGCTTATACATGTGCATTGGCATATTTCTTTGCCCATTGCACCGTTATATAGATCTGATGAAGGTTTAGTCTAGACTGATTCAGAAGGCATAGAGTGGTTTTACAGAACTCTTTTTAGTGTTAAGAAAACGATTCACAAGATGTCTCCTTTAGTTTCCTGGAACTGGGATGTTTATTTTGTTCTGTGTACAACAGCAACAGTTCTGTAGAATTCATAACCTTAAACATTCAAATTACAACTTTTACTAAAATATTCTTTCAGCACGTATTACTCAGGATATAACCAGGACAACAACTAAATAAAAGTACTAGACAGAAAATAAGTTGGGTATTTCAGTCAGTATCTCTAGGACCAGACATAAAAGCCCCAAGGTAAAAGACAAACTCACTAGCTGCTTTAACTACTACATCATAGGGATAACCAAACCTTAATTCCCTACTCCCAGGGACACCTCTAGAGTCTGAGGTGACCTTTCATATTTCTTTGGGGGAATTTTTCAATCCATCTGTCCTTGTGGCTTATACATTGTTGGGCATTGTTTAAGAAGACAAAAATTGTTTTCCTAGCCAAACTTAAGTGTCTATATCAGATACGGTTATCAGGGAACTGCTAATTGTTTCACAAAGGCTATAAAACATTAACCATGTTTGTGTCAACCTGGCTGGGGGGAGGTATTCTATGCCAAGGCGGTTGGTGTCATGGCCTGCTAATGGGGATACACAAAGGGAATGCAAATGTCAGTTGTCCATTCAGTAGCATCCCAACCAATCACATAGGATCCATTCTTGAAGCTTTACTGAGACCCCCCTCCCCCCACCCCGGCATGGATTCAGTGACATATGTTTATAAAGGGTGTGATTTACAGGAAGAGTAGCTGCTTCTTTACTAGTCGCTTGGATTTTTGAGCTAACAAAGATGTGAAAAAATATACCAGCTCTTCTCAAGTACATTGACTCCATTAAATACCCTAAATTCTAATTTGTAACAAATGTATTCCTAAAATATAGGATTTGTTTAAGAATGGGATAGATAACCATTAGATGAAAAGGTTAAAAAAAAGCCAAATAAACATTGCTTACTCAGAATATGGATACCCAATTACAGGTCACCTCCCATACATTCTCATCACAGTTAATGCATAGCTGGGAGAGAAACTGAGTGTTTTATTCATTTAAAGCTGTGGTTCTCAACCAGGGGTATGCACAGGTCTTCCGGGATACAGCAACTCATCTAGATATTTGTCTAGTTTTACAACAGGCTACATAAAAATCACTAGAGAAGTCAGTACAAAGTAAAATTTCATACAGACAATGATTTGTTTACACTGCTCTATATACTATACACCGGAATGTAAGTAAATATTTATATTCCAATTGATTTGTTTTATAATGATATGGTAAATATGAGGAAGCAAGCCATTTTTCAGTAGTAGTGTGCTGTGACACTTCTGTATTTTTATGGCTGATTTTGTAAGCAAGTAGTTTTTAAGTGATGGGAGACTTGGAGGTACACAACACAAATCAGACTCCTGAAAGAGGTATAGTAGTCTGGAAAGGTTGGGCGCCACTGATTTAAAATGTGCTTGCCAGAGATGGACAAACTGGGCTTGATCCAAAGCCCTTTGAAATCAGTGGAAGTCTTTCTATGGTCTTCCATGGGCTTGGCATCAGGCTCATTATTTGTAACTAACAATTTATTCAGCTGGTTCCCCCCCCCCTTTTTTTCCTGTTCACAAATAGTTGGCAAGCAATTTTTTTTTGTTCATTATTCAAAATGGTTTGAATGTTTCATATGAACAAATGTTCACATTTTTTTATCTGCAAAAATTACTTTGACTATACAGGTTTCAGAGTAACAGCCGTGTTAGTCTGTATTCGCAAAGAGAAAAGGAGTACTTGTGACACCTTAGTCTCTAAGGTGCCACAAGTACTCCTTTTCTTTTGACTATACAGTATCTCAATTCATTATTTGAGCTGTGTGATTGGTTACCTAAGTCACATGGTAATATTTATGGTCATCCAATCAGGGAACAGAAGTTTTATAGAGCAGAGGAGGGCTGGAATAACTCAGAGGGATTTCTAGCACTGCCATTGACAGATGTACTTGTCTGTCCATGTCCACAGCCAATACAGACAGAGGGGCTTCATTAAGTTGAAATATACATGCTACCACACAATTGCTGGATCCCAGGGGCTACACTCCCCTGCCATACCACTTGGCTGTAGTCCTGACACAGGGATGGATTGCCAGATGCCTTCCTGCCAACGAAGTGCCACCACACTCTCAACCCCACTGATGTTTCTGGTGGTGGTGGCCGTACAACTCCCACAACACGTCATTTGCTTCGCTGCTGCTGCTGTTGCACGTTACAGAAAAGTGGGGAGGGGTTAGTCATCCCTCCTGCTGTTCATCCAAAGCCTTTCTCCAAAATCAACAAAGAGATTTTTATAAACGTATAAACATTTCTGCTGCAAATGCTCATGCAAACGTATTCATGCAGCTGTTTGTGGGATTCGACTTTCCACAGAAATTTCCCTGGGGAAAACTTCACCATATCTGTTCACAGGAAACAAATAAAAGGGACCCCCATACCATTGCAGCAAATGAAATTGTGGGAATTTTCTGAAGTATTCTCCTAACCATTTTTTTTTTTTGTACTATCAGCCTAGGTCTAATGTTTGGAACATTTCATCTTTAGTATAGTGCTTCTCTAATGGATGGAGTCCATGCATGTAGAGTAACACAGTGAAAGCTGAGGGGCTGGGGGGAGGAAAAGAAGCTATACAAAGCATTATCTGAATCTGAATAAATGAGATGATTAAACATCCGAAGATTATATTTGTTTGTTTTAAAAGAGACAGTTGACCAAGCAGAGAAAATGAAATTGGCAGGACTTGAAACCAGTTTGAAGTAATTCCATTGTCACAAATAAACTTAATTATATTAGTATTATTAATTAATTAGTGTAGTCTGCATCAAAGCAACACCCAGTCCAATGGGGTTGGTTGTAGGTCTGTCAGAGTCATAAAATCCCACATACAAGGGGGGAAATAGCTCAGGCGTAAAAATGTGCTCCAGGCTGGAATTTACTATACACTGTCTGGATGTTTTAAAGTTATACAACTGGGGAGGGGTGAGGAGGAGGAAGAGTGCTTGAGTAGCAAACTGAAAACGATGGCAGTTTAAAATAAAAAATATTGCAAGCCTTTCAACTGTAGCGTAGTCTAATCCAATTTAGTATTTAACGTAAATAAAAATAATAAATGGGTGAAGTATTGAATTTTAGAAAATGTGTGCTTTTGTTATTGGTAAAGTAACTCCTTTCCAAACCTTATTTTTAGGATTGGTATTATGCACCTATGCAGTACAGACATTGTGCTAATCTATATACTTGTTGAGACAGGAACCATGGCCCAGATCCTCAAAACTCCCTAACACCCTTAGGAAATCAAAGGGAACTAGCACTTTTGAGCATCTTGGTCCATGTCCTTGTTTTTAATCTCTGTAAAGTGCATGCAAAATGATGTACAGTATAGATAGGCTTGTCAGAACTCAATTTTTTTTGTAATTGTAATGAAGAATATCAGATGTTTATTTTCAAGCCTTTTTTAATTTTTATCTATTTTAAATTTTCACAGTTGTACAAAATGATGGGTTTTAAGTGATTTTTTTTCTAATTTTATCAATTTAAGTGGTCACAGTTGCAGGAAATTTTGGTTGGGGGGGTTGGACAATAATTATTGAATAGCAGTAGACATTGAGATTCAAAATGATAACACTTTATAACCGTTAAAACACAAGCTATCTACATCACATGTCAAAATATGCAAAATAAATATCTTGAAGCAGAATTTTTCTTATTTTTCCTATTTTTGCCAATTTTGATGATCATAGATGGAAATGGTTCGTCATCAATTTGTGTATGTGTATGATGAAATCAACATTTACCAATAAAAGTGTAATCCTTCCCAGCCTACATGTAGATGTTCAATATAAAAAGAGATCTGTTGTGATCTGTTGGGCTCAATGTCTGCTCTATGGATTTGGATTACAAGTAATTAGCAAGGAATTTTAAGACTAGTAGCACGAGGGAAGGGTGAGTTCTGAGGATCCAGTTCAGTTCTTCAAAGAATAAACACATTTTCCTCCTTGTGCTGCATCCGTTGTTATTCTTCAGGCCTTATTATACTGGACCTTAAATCCCCGGCACTAGCCACTCCTGAGTGATGTGCATCTCAACTCAGGAACATTCACTCATCAAAGTATTCCTTAGAATTGGGTGAGCTGGGGCTGAATCTCTTCATCTTCCTAGACAGTCACCACTGTCTATGTTGGTTTCAGGCTAGCCAGAAGCGGCATGCTTATAGGAGGGTTTTCTCTGAAAGACAGTAGCACTTGAAACAATATTAAGTCAATCGCTCCTGAAGAAATTGAGTGATAGATAATCTAATCTATCACAGTTATGTGGTCCTATTACCATAGTATCTGAGCAGTTCACAACCTTTAACATATTTATCCTCACAACATGCCGGTGAGGTGGGGAAGTGCTATTATCCCCATTTTGCAGATGGAAATATTGTGCGCCACTGAGCAGTGAGTGCAGCATTATCTGTAGTGTCTGTCTATATTCAACAATTATAATGTGACTATCATCATAGTTTCTGAGGATTTCCTGGGTGAACTGAGTTATAACTTTTTCTCCCTCTTGTGTTCTCTCTTTAAAATGACTAGATTAGGGTGACCAGATAGCAAGTATGAAAAATCTGGACACTTTTTTTTTCCCGAGGTGGGGAGTATAATTGCATATATAAGACACTGCTGCTATTTTGGGACGTCTGGTCACCCTTGTTTAGATCTGATTCGCTTAGTTAATTTTTAGGCCAGGATTTTCAAAAGTGACTAGTGATTTTGAGTGCCCAGCTTGAGACATCTTAAAGGGGCCTGCTTTTCAGAGGGCGAGTTCTCAGCACTGTCTGAACCCGTAGACTGCCACATTCACCCGATGGTAAAACAGGTGAGACCTACGTTGCATACCCACTAACTTGCCTGCAGTATTCCTCCTAAGTCACCAAGCAAATGATTCTCTTCCCACTGTAAATACTTTTCCAGCAGGCAGAGCTGGGGCAACAATGCCCCTGCCTCCCCATTAAGAATAAAATACTCTATGAGCCGTGGAACTGTTTTTCAGAGATAACAATGCTGAACTCTTGTATGGTGTTTTTCTTATTGCAGATTGCAAATACATGGCTCCCCAGTAAGCCTTATGCAGCTCTCAGATCTATGGTGATAAAGACCAGAATAGAATCGAACAGAATAATTGGGGGAGCCCTTGTGTAAATGAGGCTGAAGTTGGCTCTTTAATTTGGAACACAATGATGGTCTTTTGTAGTGAAACACATTTATTATAGGAGATGAAATCCCATATTTTATAGAATGTAATAGCTGGCATTCCAACTTTGCACTTTATTCTAAAATATAACAGTAACACAGACACTGTTAATAATGCAATCAAAGCATTTCAGGCCCTTTTAAATCATGCACAAAGAAGCCTTTGATAGGAAGCAACTTTCATCACCCTCAAAGACTGGATGGATTAGTGTGCTCTGTTTATATGTAGGTAGTTGTAATTTCACATTCGACTGGAGAAGGGCAAGAATAAATTATTGCAGGTAAGCTCTAGTGTTAGACTTACTGGTTTTAAAAGGAAAAACATATTTCTTTTTAAAGTGTCTCTAAATGGGGTTATTCAGTGTTGTAAAAGGTACTTTCCATTATTATGCTGATGGTACACATAACAATTATGTTTATATTTTAAAGCACTCGTTCTTTTTTGGATAAGCAAATAGTATATTCCTTTAACATTTAATTTATTTCCTGCTTTTGTCATTTTTTTGTGCTTTTGAGAGATTACATTTTGTAAGCAACGTTGGGCAAAAAATGGAGGTGATTTTTGTTTTGCAAAACCTATTTGGGGTTTAGGTTTGCAAAACCAAAACGAAGGGCAATTAGGATCTATTTTATATGAACCATCCTAACTTTGAGTAGGGGACAGAGCTGTTGGCTGAATGGTTCTGGTTTTACCCCATCTCTAGATAAAAGTTCCACGCATGCCTAAGCTGGTTCAGAAGCTGCATATTGTTCTGACATGTTTCAACACCTTGGGAAAAATTTGCAAATTTGGTGTGATCTTGCAATTTACACTAGACCTGAAAACATCAGAATAATTTTGTCAGCCTAATGTCATTATCCCTCTCCAACTTTTTAGTCCTTCCCTAAAAAACAATAGAATCTGTATTGCAAAGATTAAAAAAAAAATCCCCCAATCTCCCTCCAAAGATGTTGAGGCCCTCTTTAGAGCTGGTAGAAAATGCTAATTATGTTGCATGAGATTTGGGGAAGGGGGGAAAATGCATTTTCTTTTACCCAAAATCAAAATCCATTTATTTTTATCAGTTTTCAAAAAAAAGTTTTGATCATTTTTTTCAGTGTTACCCCACTTCCCCCACCCCCCCAAATAAACCAACAACCCCCATATTTCATTAAAAATTTTACCAAAAGTAAAACAATGTTAATGGAAACCATTTCATTTATTTATTTATTTACAAAAAAGGTTGACCAAAATGAAATTTTGGAAATGGGACTATTCACGTGCTTAAAGTTAGGCATATACGGTTAAGTACTTTGCTGAATTGGGGCCTTAATCAAAAGACCTATTTTATAGAAACATCTCCCAGGGAACAAGCTTAGCCTTATGACAGTGAACAGTAGTGACCTCCGCTTTTCAAGACATAATTAGCTCAATGAAAATGCTGTTGGCCAATTCCAAATTTTCAAGTGTTGTTTAACGTATGGAACTCCGAACTCTTAATATAGAAATTACCAAATAAATGTACAATAAGCCTGGAGTGAATATAATTTATCATCTAGTATTTGTTACAATATTTTATTTAAAGAAATCTTTTCTGCCATCTTTTTAATAGCCTCCTCTATTAATCTGGACAGTTGCTTAATTGGGATGATAAACAGTTCACTGGCAGGACTACTGTATTTGCCAATCTCTAAATAAAGAAACTGAAAGGTTAAAACTAACTGACCTCCTATAGTTTTCACCCCTCCCTTTTTAAAGATCCATTCTGTCTGTGTGTGACCTTGCAGGTGTTAAGCAAAAGTCTTCCAAAATGGGAGGGGCAGTCTGCTTGCAGAATTGTTTTAGTTCCACTGCGTCATCACAAACATATGGTTTCACTTCCAAATGTTTAACATTTCCTTCCATTTCCTCAGGAAATCATTCTTTCTGTTTTTTAAACTTTTGAAACTGGATGGATATCTTTATTGGCAGGCATACAGAAAATGACACAATAATTAAACCCAGTCCAAGATAGGCTTCTGATCATATGATCTGCCCAGCGATCTGTCTTTTCCCTTCCTGGCTGCTAGTCTGTAGTCAAGAATCTGGATGTGCAATTACAGCACAGCTTGCATTGGTTTTGCACTTGTTTAATATAACAAAATTGTCACCTTCTGGGCTTAAGCTGAGACATATGGTTTCACTTCTTAATTCAGAACATGGTCCGTTTATCCCAAAATACTAATTCAGGCCAGAATCCTGCAACTGACTGAGCAGGGTCAACTGCAAGATCAGGGCCTAGGGGAAAAAAATTATATCACCTAAAAGGAATGAAAACAATTACACCATTTATTTATGTTACCTATCAAATATATCCCGTTTTTTATCAAAGACAGACTGGCTCCAGGGAACTGGACTTGAGTCTTGTGTTTAGCTGGTGTTATTACTGGTATTTCCTTTTTCCTCCTTAAGAATGGGTTAACATTCTCATGTGCTGGCCATGTTATACAGCTATAGTAGCAGGTGTGTGTTCATTTATTCTTTATTTTATATTATCAATAAAAATAATGTTTAACTTGCTTCATAATGTTTTCTGTATCTTGCATGCCATAATGTCAATCTATTGAATGTATGAGTCTCATAGATCATTCAGACAATATATATGCTCCAATACTAGGCTTTAATGATATTATAAGCATTTTAGGGTGAATGTTTCCCATACTATCCTATTTTGACAAACTTTAAAAAGCTGCATATATTTTTATACTATAAATAATTATGCTATAGATAAAATAAGGCTCTACAAGAAGAAACATTTAAAATGCATCAAATGTTTACGTATATGTGTACATGTATGCTGCATTTTATTACATTGATTCACACATTTAATCTATATTAAGAAATATTACCTTTCGCGCTGTTCACTTTACATTGTCTTGGCTTCAGAGCAATCATAGTAGAGTTTGGGACTTTTAGAAGGGCTCGATTCCTAATTTGGGGAAAGATGAGTGACACAGAGACTCAGGATGTTTTTTCTGAGTGTACATGATGCACAATAAGTACACAATTACTGTTAACCTTGAACTGAGATAGCAAATGCAGCAAAAGGTTTCTATGTAATTCTACCTTCAGAACTCCAGCTAAACCTCATTCGAGGCTCAGCACATTTAGTTTGCCACAGGTCTCTGTTTCTACCCCCCTATTGTATTGCAAATTCCTATTGAATTTGCTGCCCACTCTGATCCTGGCCCAGGAAAGAATTTAAGCACATGCTTAAAGCGCATGCACATATTTAAAGTTAAGCACTTACTTAAATGCTTTGATGGATAAAGGCTTGTGCCGGGTCTCTTTCAGCATCACTGTTTTCCAGGTGTCATCATCCCAATCCATACTGGTATTCTCTTTATGCCTTTCTCCCTACCATCTGACTTTCCTTCCCCTTCATCTCTTTCTTCCCCTTTCTATTCCAATCAAAGGATTCTCATTTTTGTGTCCTCACTTGAATTGAGCAAGTTCTGCTTTGATTGCTATTGCTCTGCATGTGTCTTCTCTCTAGAAAGCTACAGGTTTGAGCTGCAAAACCATGCAGCGCTTGAAAGGGCCATTATCAAGGCAGTTAGACCTAAAATTCAGCATTCTGACTTTCTCTCAGTGTATGCCTGTGTCATACTGTTCCATGCTGCATACCCCAGCCAATACAAACACACCAGCACCACAAGTTGTTGTTAGTGGGTGGTCCAGAGGACAAATTAAGATTAAAATAATGGGCGGCTTGTATAAGAGGCCCTGACAGCTGGCCTGCCACCTTTGGAGTATGCCACCGCCGCCAAAAGGGCACCCTGGCCGTGGCCCCACCCATGCTGTGCCCCGAGGCCCTGCTCCCATTCGTCCTTTTCTGCCCAAAGCCCCGCCTTCACTCCCCCGCTTCCCGTCCCCGCACCACCCACATGGGGGCCAGAGGGGAGGGCGTGAAGAGGCATGCGTGAGTGGTGAGTGGCTGGCTGGGAGGTGGGTGGGGGGGGCCTCGGGGAAGGGGGCAAAGAGGCACGAGAGGTGGGTGGGGGTGGAGAATGGGCGGGGTCCCAGGGGGAGGAGGCCAAGCAGGGGCAGGCCTTGGCGTGGGATCATGGTTCGGGCACGCCCATTCTCCCCAAATGGAGGAGTCACACGCCACCCATGATTAAAATAATGATACGCCATTCACTTTTGGGTTCTTGGCAAATATATGACTATTATCCAACTCGTCCAGTATCTTGTCTCTGATAGCCACCGGTACCCGATGCATCAGAACACAGGCACTGACTTTTGGTTTTGCTGGTGGGTGCCCGTTTCTGCCACATCCCCTCCATGTGAGCGGTGGGAGGAGCCTCAGGGGGAAGATGCTGAGCAAGGGTGCGGCCTCGGGGCAGAGTAGGGGGTAGGACCACTGTCTGTGCCAGGGCCCACAAAAGATTAATCCAGCTATGCGGGTGCTGAGCACCTCCTCTTATTTTTTGATGGGTGCTTCAGCCCCAGAGCACCCATGGAGTCGGCACTTATGCATCAGAGGATGATGCAAAAAAACCTGCAATCCATACGCATGGGTGTATGCAATCACTAGACTTGTGACCAGCCCCTACATAGGAGGTGGAGGGTGTTTGGTTCCCCCTGCCTTTACAACCCATGCAAAAGATGGCTGTAATCTGGCCATATGTGAGCAATTCCAAAATAGGATATATATTCCACCTGGGGCTTACATCCTGTTATTGCAGGGGATGGGCATGACAAAATCAGCTCTAGTGGGTAAAAACCCTGTTGTGGGTATGTAGAATCTCCGTCAAATGGACGGTTCATTCACAGATTCCAGTGTTCACCTATGTTTTTTTCTACTAGTAGAGGGTGGGGGAAATAAACGCACAAGCTACTACAGCTGTAAGATAAAAGTAACCCAGGCACTGACAACTTGTGTGGGTTTTGTATGTCTGTTTGCAGTGTTATATTATGTGTTTGGAAGTGAGTTGTTTCCATAATAACAGTGACTGCCATATGGCAACGAGGAAGGTGGTGAAAAGAATGCTTAAGGGAACACAATATGTTGTTTGACATTTTGTGTATTTTTAAAGCAATAATATATCTTAAGTGTGTGCAGCAGCCCCATGCTAACTAGTGTTTAATGCTGATCTTGCAAAGCTAACATTTGATACCAGCTGGTTTATACTTGAGCCATGTCAATTTGTGGTACTCTTTCTTTTTCCTCGTTTTCCTTTTAAATATTGATTCATAAAGTGCTTTTCACTGTAGTCACATGGCTGTTCAGTGCTGTACAATGATGGAACAACAATTAAAAATACAATAAAGCAGTAGGTGAAATAAACTTCTAAAGGGGGACGTCATGTGAAACTCAATCTCATCAGTAAGATATTGTATGTGCAAAGCCCTCGTTACTGCCAATGAACAGATAACACAGATTTTTAAATACTTTTAAGATATATATACCATAAATACATGTATATTAGAGAAGGGCTTTAGCCACAAAGTCAAACCCTAATTTTCCCAGAGTTTAGCAGCATTCTGACCTGTATTTAAATATATGGGGAACTGGGGATAGGGCTATTGCAAGTTCCTGTTAATTCCAAACATTGATGCAACTGCATGTGCAAATTCACTTTTTCAAGGCTTCTGGTAACTCTCACCTGAAGGTTTCCCCCCACCCTCTCTCTTTTCCCCACAAAGGTAACCAATATGGGAATTGCCTTCTCTATTCTATATAACTCCAGAAATGAAAGGTCAACAATTGTCATCTTATCATGGCTGAATGACATGAGCGGGACTTTTTGCCTGCACTAGGAGTGTAGAATTGAGCACGTGCTTGCCTCGTGGGTCCTGTGTTTTTGGCTTTGATTTCCCAAGGGGGGGTTATGGTTTGGAGTCCTTTTACTGCGCTCACTTGTGGTGTTTTAAAATTGTAGCCAGCCCAAAACACACACAGAGGATCTTCAGGTTTTTACACTCTTTTTTTCTTCTTCTTTTATTGCCTCTAGATAGAGATTATTACAGTTTATGCGACAAGCAGCCAATTGGAAGGTTTCTCTTTCGGCAGTTCTGTGAAACTCGACCGGAGCTTGAGTGTTACATTAGGTTCCTTGACTCGGTGGTAAGTTAATTCTTCTGATATTTGCAGTGCTTTATTGCACTCTGTTCCTTGGTAATGAACTTAAGAACATCAGTGTAGGAGTACAAAAAAATAAACCATTGTTCTTAAGGAGTAACATTCTCTACATGAGCGCAAAGATGTGAGCCTTTCATGTATTAGGCTCCTACAGAATATTTGGTTTGTCACCATAAATATCTCTATCATGTCAATAGTCAAAAAATGTTTTGCTCCCTCTCCAGAAGCTTCTTCTTGATATCCAGCAATCATTGTAAACCTTGACTATAAAATATATTGGAAAATACAGGGTTTTTAATATTATTGAATTGACATTACTGATCCAATCCTACTTAAAAAGGAAAAATTTGTATTGGTCATCTGTGAACTCAGTGTAAGAGAGTGTAAGATTTTTTTTTAGCTTGATAGACATCATAAAAAGAATGTTAATGCTATTTGACCTTAATCTTTGTGTAGACTCTGATCCTGGGATTTGGTGGCACAAACAGACTACTGAGTCCATGCAATGTATCGCAAGATCAGGATCTCATTAAACACAGACTCTTTCTTTGGCTTGTTTATACAATATAAAACGGGATGGCAATTGGTTCTAAGTGTAGTGTGTTAGATTACCATGTTGCCTTGCCTCTGTAACAAACGATAAAGCAACTTTTAGCAATATGCCTTCTTTCATAAGCAGGCTCAGAAGTGCTCTACACTCTGCTTAGAACACAGAGACACATATGTGAAAAATGGCCTTACAATTGCACCCACCACTTTTCATGTCTCTGTTTTTGCAGATGCACCAATATGGATTTGCATGCATCAATGCATTTGCACGTGCATCGGAGAATTGCACACTCAGACTCTTAGATGTGAAGGGTGGTGAGTGCAGTTTTAGAGGTCAGATTGCGATCTCTTTGATCTCTGGGTTCACCACTTGCAAATACATTTCACAGTTTCCTCATGCTACGGCGGGTGCTCACCTGGCTGAACTTTCAGATTGCTGAGTAGAGTGAAAAAAGGTTACAAATGCCTTTAAGAATATATCCAAGATTGTACTGTTATGCTGTATCTCTGTCATAGGAAGACAGTGAAGGAGCCAAAATCATTATTTTTCAATGGAAAGTGTAGTGCCTACCTCTAAGCATTCTGTGACAGTAGCCATCATGCAGTTGTCATAGACTAGCTATGGAGTAGATTCGGTAGGGTAGCCAGACAGCTTCCATCTTGAACTCCTACTGGCAGTGCAACTGGGTAGCTAAATGTGTGCATATAGCTACATTTATTAGCTACTGCACACAGGTGCCTGCTAGAAAACCTGTGGGCAGCTGCGGGAGGACAGGCAGAAGCTGCTGTCATAGAATGACTCTGTTCGTCCTCCATTGAAACACAAGCCATCTTTGGGATGGATTTTGGCCTCTACACAACAGTTTAGTTCAGGAAATGGGGACAGAAATGAACAGTGGTCTTTGCCTGCCTGATGGAAGTGCCTTTAGTCATCCATTTAAAATGTGCGAAGATTATGTCTTACCTTTTGGTTTGGGAGACAACATCGAGAAAGAATGATCTTTGGTTTCTGTGCGTCTTCCATTTAAAAGAAAACAGGAAGTTTTCAAAATTCAGAGTGGTTACAGAATTTAGGGGCTCTGTGTGCCACTATTGTCTATTATTAATAGGCTTAGAGGGATTACATTTTTATGAATAAATGTCAACTTCACCATACACACACAAACCAACAGAAAAAATATTTCTATTGATCATTGAAATTTACAGATAGGCAAAGTAAGAAAAGGGCTGCTAGAGAACTTATTTGAGTTTAATGTAAGGATGTTTACTTTGTATATTTTGACATGTGATGTTGACTAATTGTGTTTTAATGGTTATAAAGCTTTAACTTTTTGAATCTCATTGTGTTGTAGTGTCATTAAATAATTATTGTCGGACACCCTCCCCCCCCATATTTCTTGGAATTATAAAAAATTAAATCAATTAAAAACCAGGGCCGGCTCTAGGCACCAGCAAAACAAGCAGGTGCGTGGGGCAGCACATTCCTAGGGGCGGCATTCCGGCGCCGGCCATGCCGCCCCTGGAAATGTGCCCCTGCTGCCCCCATTCATCTCCGCCTGCTCCCCTGAGCACGCCGCTGCCACTCCGCTTCTCCCCCCCTCCTTCCCAGGGTTGCCGTGCGAAACAGCTCTTTCGCGCGGCAAGCCTGGGAGGGAGGCAGGGGAAGCCGAGCAGCGGCACGCTCGGGGGAGCGGAGGTGAGCTGGGGCAGGGAGCGGTTCCTCTACCCCCACCTCCGTTACTTCCTGTGCTCCCCCGCCACCCTCGCTCACCTCTGCTCCGCCTGCTCTCCTGAACGCACTGCCTCTCCCTCAGCTGAGAGGGAGGGGGGAGAAGTGGAGCGGCGGTGTGTTCAGGGGAGCAGGCGGAGCGGAGGTGAGCTAGGGTAGGGGGTTGTGGGGGGGAAGCTGCAGGAGGCAATGGGGGGGGAAATGCGGCACGCCCGGGGGAGGAGGCGGGGCCAGGGATTTGGGGAAGGGGGGGAAAGGGGGGAGTTGGGACGGAGGCGAGGGGGGGGAGGCACAAAAAAAGCAGTGGTGGCCAAAAGTTTTTTTTGATTGGGGTGGCAAAAATCCTAGAGCCAGCCCTGATAAAAACACTTATGCTTAAAATTAAACATGGATATTGCCTGTCAGAATTGCTTTTTAAAAACTGAATTCTGTATTTGTATTCCAGGAATGCCAAGAAGCCACAGAGATCAGGGTCCCATTGTGCTAGTCATGTACAAACACACAGTAAGAGAAAGTCTAGGCTTTGAAGAGCTTACGGTCTAAATAGATAAGAGAGACAAAGGCTGGGCAAAAAGAAGTATTATTATCCCCATTAGGGTGTATATCATCCTGTCACGACAACACAATCAACTTTACAATACAACATGATAACCTTTCTTTACACAAAGTACTGGGGGTATTGCTGAAGTCACTCTTGGAGTTTAGGGCAACAAACTGCCTTACCCTTCTGCAGCCCTTAGCCTGAGATCCTGAGAGTGAAACCAGCTATGGCCTTTTAGCACCCTCCTAGCTGTAGTGCAGTGTTTGTGGGTATGTCTACATTGCAATAAAACACCTGCAGTTGGCCTGGGTCAGCTGACTCAGGTTCACAAGGCTCAGGCTGTGGGGCTATAAAACTGCAGTGTAGATGTCTGGAGTGTGGGCTCTGGGACCATCCCCCACTGATCCAGCTCAAGTCCAGACAGTTACACTGCAATTTTACAGCCCCCACAAGCCTGAGTTAGCTGACACAGGCCAGCCATGGGTGTTTTATTGCACTGTAATCAAACCCTTAGACAAGAATACCGTGAAAGGTTAAGAGGAGGCTGGTAAGGGAAATGGTTGTGTTTAAAAGCTCCAAACCCCAATAACCCCAGACAAATATCCCACGACCCTTCTGCAGGGATGCTCTTGGCAAACACCCTTTGCTTGCAGCTCTGACCCTTAAGTGTCTTGTGTACTACTGCAATATTTCAGTGTAGCCAAGAGATCTGTATTCACAGTCCAACTGAGATCACCAATAATTGGTTGAACAAAATGACTGAGCTATATGGAGGTCTGGATAGTCACTCTCTTATCTTTCAGAGTAGCAGCCGTATTAGTCTGTATTCGCAAAAAGAAGAGTACTTGTGGCACCTTAGAGACTAACAAATTTATTTGAGCATAAGCTTTCATGCTCACGAAAGCTTCTGCTCAAATAAATTTGTTAGTCTCTAAGGTGCCACAAGTACTCCTTTTCTCTTATCTTTGAACAGCTTTGATGGCTTTTGTTTATCGATTTCAATTTCTGTAAAAGTTTGCTAACCATTAGTGAAGTTTCCTATATTATCCAACCCCAAGGTCCAGCAACACAGCACACACCCATTAAATTGAATTTCAGCCAAAGTCAGTCTGTGTGGCATGGGTTATGGGAACCAGGCCAATTCCTAGGTTACACAGAAGAGGCCCATAATGAGACCAAATGTCTGATTTTACAGCCCCATTCTGAGACCACCAGAAATGTGGACCATACCATTTTAGAGACCACCTGCTGCCCCAAGACCTGCAGTGGGCGAAATACAGCCTTTTGGTTGCTCCGTGACTTCATTATTCTGTCTAAAGTAGGAAACACAACAAAACTTTGTTTTTACTTAGTACCAAATAAAGATGAAAAATAATTTAAAATACTCAGCTCTTCATCAGAGGATCTCAGAGCACTCTGCTGGATTGCGAGTATTATTATCCCTGTTTTACAGAGAGAGAGAAAGTGAAGCACAGAGAGGTTAAGTGACTTGCCCAAGGTTGCACAGAAAATCAGTGGCACAGCCCAGAATACACCTATGTATCCTGCCTTCCAGTCCCCTTCTTTAACCACTAGACCATACTGCTTCCAAAAGCAGGGAACAATAAATGCTGTGTGTGATTTACAAGCACAGGTTGGAGTGGAAACTGCAAGCTGAGGAGTTCTGTCAGACAGTCACCAGCCTACCCATGATCTCTCTTTTCCATATGCAAGACAGACCCACTTTAGAGAGAACTTTCTCACTCCTCTGATTTCAAACATCAGTAATATCGACCTGCATTACATATTGAGAAAAGTCCCTCCTTTACATGGCATTTATTTCAGCTGTCACGAGCACCCAAGTGATCTACTGGGGAGACTGATTATAGGGTATATTATAAATTTGTTTGTATTTTTAAAGCGTTTATTTTTACAATAAAGCACGTTCCACAGTCACTAAAGTTAGCACAGGAAACAGATTCCTCTTGCTGATACAATTGTCGGGTTGTTACAGTTAGAGTGTGACAAGGGATGTTGACTAGATAAAAATCACAGGCCTGATTCCCCACGGCCTTGCACCTTGCAGAGTGATTTATATCTCTGCCAAGCGAGTGCTGCCTGGGTATCAAATGCTGCTGAATCACAATAGTAGCATTATACACTCACTTTGCCCAGGTGTAACTGACT